GACCGCGTCCTGTGGCGCGCCCGTATTCCGCATCGTGTTACGCAGCTCCATTACCAACGATACGAGGTCAACGTATCGGATCATCGCCCAATTTCTGCAGCCTTTGCCGTGACCGTGAAAAGTATCAAGCATGACGTGAGGCAACAAGTTAAGGCGGCCGTACAGGCGGGATGGGTGGAGGAGCAGACTCGTTTGCTTGGTTTGGCCAAACAGTTCTATGTGAGGCAGGCATTGATCTGAGCAGGTTTTTGTGACTTTATCGGACTAGGTGTGTTTTAGTAGCAAATCATTGTAGATCAGCAGCATCGGACTTCATTCACGCAATTTCCTCTTTACTGGACGCCTGTATTACCGTCCCCTCTTTTACCCGCATCGTTATACTACATCCACTGGATAAATACTAGATAAATGGCTAACTTTGATACAGCTCGGGATCGTTTTGCACTCCAATCATCAATGTGTGGCGCGTCATTCACATCTAATCTTATCGCCGCGGCGGTTATGGATTTGTTTGCAATTTGTTGAACTCTGTTGAACTTGAAGTTCCTCCGCGGTTTTCTGGCCCTTCCATAAAGGCATCAACTCAGTTGCCAAAGGCTATCTCGGTGCAGAGGAGAAGGACGTTCTGACAAAAGCGAAATTTGATTGGCGTTGGTCCGACGAGTCTGCACGACATGACTCTTGCTTCCGCACAAGCTGACCTTACCTATTCTGATTCATTCACAATAGTGCATCTGCTGAACGACGATCCGACTGTCCTACCCAAGGTCGAGGACATTGCCCATCGCATGGCCAAAGCCCTCCCCGATGAAATGCAGGATCTTCTCGCATTCTGTGGTGACGCTGCACGTTACTACGGTGAAGTGGGCCGGCATAGCTACGTGCGTCCCACCCCCACTTTGCAGTATGCAAGCCATGCGCTCCAAATCATCGCTGCCAACGTTGCCGGAGGACAAAAGGTCTTTTTCAGCCCTAGATCACAGCAAAGGCCGACCACAGAAATAGGTCTATGGTCTGATATGTTCATGTCGTAGCGTATCTAAGTTGGCGATATCGAGCTGTGTGACACGATGCGGTGCTGGCGCGCCACACTGGCGCCACAGGGCACGATTGTACCATATACCAGCAGAATAGGACATCATTCATGCAATTCACCTTTTCCACACACCTGCAAGTCTTTTTTTCTCCCTCCTTCGCCAGAGGAGGCCAGAGGCATGTAACTTGGATGTAATTCCTTTTCAATGAAATCATCTGACGGCCGTGACGCATTGCCAGAATATGTCAATGTAACACCCTTTCACACCAATTGACCTCTACAGTCCAATCCTAAGTATCGTTTCAAGTCTGCAAGCTTCCAGTTCTGCCCCTCAGTATACCTGGGCGCAGTACTGCCTATTAATAGCGGCCCGTGGATTTGTAATGATTGATACCTAATCTTATCGCCTCAATGGATCAAGTCGGCAATATCGGTTCCTTCGGTTCTCTCACTACAGTGACCCGTGGAATGCTCCGAGGACGAAGTGGCTGAGCAAGCCAACTACTTTAGCAGCTTTATCCTCCATTATGCCGTCCAAGCCAGCCCAGCATCCGGGCTTGATTAGTGTACCACGCTTCACCACTCTTTTGGCTTCGTTGTTCGTTTCTCTCAGTGCAGGGACAAACTATGTGCGTGCCAGCTACCCACTCAAACGCCCTTTACCAGCTAATTTTTCCGTTAGGTCTTTTCAGGTAACTTCTAACATAACAGGCGTGCCATTTTGCTGAACCATGTCTTAGCTTATGCCCCACAGCTGGCGAAGCAGCTTCAAATTACACACACACAGTTGAACATCGTTGGGTTCGCGGGGAATGGTGAGTTTGCTTTAACGGACTATGATGTGCTTGCGTTGATCGAATGGGCAGCGGGCGTTTACAGCAGTGGACCTTTCTGGGGTCGCATCGTCGACCTTAGAGGCCCGCAGATTCTGCTGGTGTCCGCATTTGCCCTCCTTCTCACTGGATACTCTGGGATCCGTTACATCTACGACTCCGGAGTCCCAGAAGCTTCGACTACCGTTTCGACGTTAACATTCAGCCTTCTGGTGTTGTGCAGTTTCATGACTGGCGCAGGTGGAAACGGTGGTTTGACCAGCGCCGTCAACTCGACGGCGAAAACTTTCCCTGACAAGGCGGTGAGACTCTAGGTCACCCTCTTTTTCTCCTTCTAATATTGCTTGCCAGCGCGCGACAGCAACTGGAATAGTGCTATCGGGCTTTGGCCTCTCCGCCTTCCTCTTTTCAACTGTTTCTCGTGTGCAGTTCGCTGGAAACACTTCCTCGTTTATCTTACTCCTAGCTCTCGGTACATCGATACCCATGGTCTTCGGGTTCTTCTTCGTTCGCCCTATACCCCTTCCCCCGATCGACCCTGTGAGCGGCGTGGAGCACGGCGAGAGCAGCGAGAATCCGGAAGAGAGTGAGGAGAATCGGGCTCTACTGGCACAGGCGGTGATCCCAGAGTAAGATCCTTTTTTCTACTGTGAGATCCCTTCTCAAGGCTGGTAATCAGTGCGCCCGTTCGCCTTTCAAGACGCGCTGCGCTCAGCCAGGGCCTCCTACCCAACGTGTACGGTGTTAAGCTCTTCGCCAGCACCGACTTCTGGTTGCTCTTCATTATCCTATCTCTTTGTAAGTCGTCATCCCAGGACGTCTGAATTACTAACTCAACATTCACAGTGAGTGGGACAGGATTGATGTGTACGTTGCCTTCGCGATCACCTCACGACTATCACTGACTTGACGTAGTTATCAACAACGTCGGGTCGATGTCACAGGCTCTTTACGCCAAATCCACCGCTATCTATAACCCGATAGAAGCTGCCCGTTGGCAGGCTGACCAGGTTTCTGCCATCAGCCTGCTTAACTGCGCCGGACGCATCTTCATTGGTATATACCACATAATATGCCGCCCTAATCGCTGTACTCATGTCATACAGGCCTTGTGTCTGACTACGCCAAACTCACCTTCGACCTTCCAAGATCATACTCGCTGGTGATCGCCTCGACGCTCTTCTTCATCTCGCAGATATTGGCTGCGAACATCGACGACATCCAAAACCTGTGGATGGCGAGTACCATGCTCGGTCTAGCACACGGTAGCGTGTTCGCGATCTTCCCCAACGTGTGCATTGAATGGTTCGGCCTGCGTAAGTCGTCTGGCATTCTGATTCGCATCCTTTCCCTCACAGTGACACTCTTTCTTTCACTTGCAGCCCATTTCTCGGAAAACTGGGGATACCTAGGCATATCGCCGATCATTGCAGGCAATCTTTTCTCCGTCGTCTTTGGCCTCACGCTCGACAAGCACGACCAGCGTCCTACAGAGTCGAGTACTGTCTTGGTGAGCGATGCGACGCAATGCGTATTGGGACGCCAGTGCTACGTCGACGCGCTTCACCTCACCACGGGCTCGTGTTTCTTGGCGCTTGTGCTGAGTGTCTGGGCCAGCTGGCGTGATCGCAGAAAGTTGGCGGCGAGTTCGAAGCGACGAAACGAGGCCGTCTGGGAGAACAACGAAGAGTGAATACCTCGACTGGCCGGCTGGCAAATAAGCTGCTTTCTTGTGTGCTTCCTACTCTCCTTTTTTAGTACAGTATATTTAAATTCGCGTAGACCTGTAGAACAGAAACATCACTATCGTTCAATTTATTTATTTCCAGCTTCCCAAGGTGAACAGCAGCGCTCACTCGCTGGCTGAATACCCTGACGCGAATCTATTCAAATCACGTTCAAGGCAAAGGAAGCAGGGACCCACTGCCAATTGCAAGATTAGCAATAGGATGCGCTAACGATGGAGGAGTAGTCTGGAGCGGAACGGTTTGGACACGGGATAGGAAACGCCCTCAATCAAGTTCTAAAGACCAACACTTGCATGAAACCGCTCACCGCAGGGCCAGAATCCTATGAAATTTGAGCTGGACAAGGCGTTCAAAATGTCAGTGAAATATAGAACCGAGGGCGGGCAAGACGAACTTTGCAAGTAGCGTGAGTAAGTAAGAACACAAATGCGATATCTAGAGTCAAGCTGACAATGAGGTCGATGTGGTCGTTGCAAACTTTGATGAAGCTGTGTAGAAGCGCAGTTAGCCAACGAGGTCGACGTTAACCGCAAAGGAAACGCACCTCGTCCGACGTGGACAACGTGGTGCCTGCGATGGGTGGGAGTCGAGGTACGCGATGACATGTCATCTTGACGCTATGTTTGCCTGGCAATGGGCGGGCAGGAAGTCGAGTGTTAGCTTCCTTGATAATGTAGGCGGCATCGAGGAGCATGCCTCTAGGTAGATGAGTGAAATCGAAACTGTTCGAATATCGCAATGGCAGAGGATGCTGGTCAAAATGTCGTCAACAAGCACTGGCGAGTCCAGACGCGAATCCATTCTAGTAAGTTGTGGGCCCAGGGCCAATATCTAAAGTCTCAAGCAAATGGTAGCTGAGCGCTGAGCCCCCAAGCTTGTAGAGTTCTTGAATGAATGCCGTCTCCGGATAGTGCCAGAATCTTTGAGCGATTTGAAGACAGTCGTTCAAAATCCCCGGATGAAAACCGACATATTATTTATTATTACCGCACACGAGACCGACCGGCATTATCCGAGCTCAGCGCCGCCTAGCGGCGCTTGCTTTCTCCTGATCAAGTCCTCTTCCAGTTGGCAACGGTAATAGCAGGTATCTGGTCACTGTTACTTGAATTGATGATTCTTACCCGGAAAGTTTTCATCTGAATAAATGCTATATCTTTGCAGTTGGAAACCTTGCTCTTCGGATCTGCGGTGCGCCACACCATAAAGGAACTGTCGACTCGGAAGATATGCGCCGTCCAGTCAACTTGATACAATGACTCTATGTTATTACGGCGACTGTAATATAGTACCCAGGGGTGTACCGGCTTTAAACTCCGACTGGCCTCGGTGCTGCGCAGATTGTTGCCCGGCTCCTTTACTATAGCGAGGTAATAACAGTATGCATCAATGGGGTAGTGGTAACCTGGGTCGTTGCCATCAGTTTATGCAAAGCGATATGTCGACCCGCCGGGGGTTCGATTCCCTCTTGATGCATAACAAACTGCATAGCAGTAACTTTTTACAGTTTTCGAAATTTCTAGGGCAGGAGGTAGTAGTCGGAGGTACTGGTCATTACGCCGGCGCTCGCCGTCGTTTCCAAGTTGATGCATTGAACGTGATCGACTTCTTCTCCATCGCCATTCTGTAAGCGTGACTTTGGTGCTGGTTGAAAGAGCGGAAGGGTCCGCGAACTCGATGCAGAACGAGGCATATTAGGCAGAAAGAACAGTTCTTTACATACAATGTACATACACAACTCTGTTCCCGCTGGCGCGGACAAAAATGCCGATTCACTTAAAGTTGCGCTCGTATCGAACGAGCCACGTTATGCTCATGGTGTGAGAACGTGCGCGATATCGGATATACCGGTGAATCATCAGTGTGAGGTATACACAGGGATGACGACAAGGCGCTGATGAACGCGTACGCCGAGAACGACTTGAAAGAAAGAAAGAACTTTGTGCGCCACACACCATCAAGCATCCAAATCACCCGTTGACAGGGTTCAAACTTCAGACGATGAAATAGAGTAGAATAGAATATATAGTAGGATAGTGGCATCGTGTGGCGTAGTGTTATACATAATAGACAGTAGATGGAGTAGATTGTAAGTGTAGATTTGACGGCCGGGCGGTCGGACGATGAGTACACGGTAGGAGTGTAACTTGTCATGCAGGGGAGCGTGGGTGTATGCATGGGAGCAGTGCGAACTGCACGCGTATGAGACAGGACGGAATGCGCGGGGGAGGGGAGGGAGCGAGTGAATGTCGTGCTCGAGGGCGTATGCAGGGCCTGCTGGGTGCCCGGCGGAGTCATTGTCCTTCTCATGGCGGTGGACGTCCTGCAAGGAAAGACAATGAAATCAGAAGAATGAACGAATATGTGAGAGAGATTGAATGAAACTGACATCGTATAACCCAGAGAGATCCATACTCATGCTCATCTTCTTTCCCCCTCCCCACGCATCCAAGTCGAAGAGAGCGGTGTCGGCCCATTCCAATGGTACTGCAGCACTGTCCCATCCAGGCACGTCCCCAGGCAGGTCAGCCACATACGCGCCCGTGCGCATCTCCGGCCGTACGTCTTTGACAACAGCAGTGGCAGTAGCAGCTTGATACCCCTGTCCTTGTCCCTGTCCTTGTCCTTGAAGTGCCGCAGTTGTCGGCGAGACATGTACGAGATTCGGGTCTACAAGCCTCAAAGACAAAGAGGAAGCCAGCGAAAAGTCGGACTGGAACATGGTGATGCGGCTGGGGCGCCGTGCGAGGTCGTCTCGGGTGACAAGAATGGTGTCTGGCGACGCGAAGCCGCTGAGAATGGTGGAGGATGGGACTGGGACGCGCGGGGCGCCTGGGGGACAGGAGGAGGAGCGCCGCTGGCCGAGATACGATTGGGGTTCTAGTTGTGGTGGAATGATAGCGGGAGTGGAAGCAGACAAGGACGTCGCAGAGTCCGGCGTGGTATATACATGCGTTGCGATGGTGTCAAGACCTTTGTACGGTGCGCTTCCTCGAGCAACTCTGCGCAGCTCAGAAGGAGTCGACCCAGGAATCTCATCCTCCTCAACGTCCCCCCTCTTCTTCCTCTTCGTGAAGAGCGGGACTCCTGGCGCAGGTGTATACCGATACCCAGGATACGCCTTCAAGTGCCTCTTTTTCTCCTGATCCGCCATGTCGACCCAAGGTGCTTTGTCCGCGTTCGACATGAGGCGCCAGACGCTTCCCGCGATGCGAGAAATGTTCCGATGGTCATTCTCGACGTCTTCTGGGACTTTCTTCTGACGCACGAAGTCACAGCGGAAGAGAATGAAAGCGTTGCGAGGCCGCGGGACGTGCCCCTCAGGTTGCTTGCGTGCGTGCGATTTTTTGGTTGGGTCAGGGGGATGATAGGTCGGATGGGGGATCGCGTTCCGGCTTAATGCACCGCGCGCAAGAGCATCAGTAGCCTGCGGAGGTACTTCGGGGGAAGACATGGCCCCGGAGGTGAGGGGACGAGAAGGCAGTGCCGCGATGCTTGACCAACGATGGTGGTGGTCAGTGGAAGAAAGGAGATCCCTTTGTTCGATTTCAACACGTTTTTTTCTTTCATTGGAAGATAAAAGGGGTCCTGGAAAGTTGACCATGCCAAACATGAATGAATGGTTTTTTTCGCTCACCTGTCGCATCAAGTCCTTGATTTGACTTGTGTGTAGCAACCCAGCAAGATCGTGGTGTATGGAAGCACACCTCAATTGCAAGCTCAAGACTAAAGTGTACTTAAGAAAGAACAATGAAGTCAGAAGAATGTGTGAAATTCAATTTTGTTTGTTGTACGCTTGAATCCGATGGAATGTTACGGCGTGCTTGACCCCAATCTATGCCTTGAAGTACCCGATTTTAGCACAGATAGGTCTTCGTAAGGAAGTCGAGATGAGGACTAAGGATGGACGAAGGAACCGGAACCGGAGACGGAATCGGGAGCGGAGACGGAATCGGAATCGGAAATGAAACGCGTTGACCAAGGTTGACCATCGATTCGACAACCCAAGTTCAACAGCCCAGCTAATCTCGGTGCCCTTGTGCGAGGGTTTAGGCAGCGAATTTACAACCTGCTACCGGAATGGTTTCGCGTCTGGGCTTGCCAGTGCTTGTGGACGACATTTTGATCAGTATCCTCTGCCATTGCGACATTCCAACAGTTCTCAATGCGTGTTTGGTGAGCCTGCATAGACTCGCTTAAATTCCTCTATAGTTCAGATTAATCTCAATCGTTCGATTTCATACAGGTCAGCCACAGATTCTATACCCTGGCGACCTCCAAGGCTGTTTGGCTCGTCCTTCTGGCAGATCTTCACAGACGCGGATTCATCGACCTGCCACCGGATCAGTCTCTGAACCAGCTCTCTACGCAAGGGCTAGTTGATCTCGTCAAGCGCGCTGTCTTGGGTCCGAAGTCCTGGCTGACACCAGACTCTACTACTCCTGTCGCAGCTGCACGGCAGATAATTCTCAACGCTGATTTCTCCGACACGGCACCTCTCACCGAGGACCACCGAAGGAACCAGCAAATCTTGCTCCAAGGCGGAAACTATCTCCTATTCCGGTACGACGATCCTGGGACTTTCAGGAGTCACTTCGAGTGCAGGGATGTTAGAGCAGATAGACGGATATGGGAGTATGAAGGTCACCCTGACCGCTGGTCAGGTTGCACGGTTCAGAGTTTTGCTGCCGAAATTATCGACGAGGGTAATACTGCCAATCTTCTGCTTGGGATTCAAACATCGGATTCCTACCCTGGTGAAAAGTGGGAGACACTTCGAGCCTCTCTGCGCACCATTTTGATGTTTGATGGTCTTTTCTACAGTTTTCTCGAAGTCGTTAAGCTGGATCTGTCCTCGGGTTCGTCGACGTCTCTGCTGCTTGAGAAAGCGCCAGAATCAAGAGATATATTCCCTTTTTTCCGTATGGAAGTTCAGAGCGATTTTGGCCTTGCATGGATGCGCTCTTGCGGCATGGTTCTGGTTGTACAGATATCCACTGCATGTGTCTCGACTTTTCGAATGGTAGGCCTTCACCTGCCGACCGTCAATCTCCGCTGATGGATTTGGCGAGTAGTCTTCGCCATACGGGGCTCCAAGCAGCGAAGGCTTGTGTCTTGTGTCGGGATATGTTCTTGCAACTAAGGAAATCGGACGCGAATCCAACCAGCCAGGAGTAGAGCTAGTCGTGTGGCACGCAACCAATCTGGTCTCATGCAGAAGCACCCATTCCGACCCTGTCAATGTCGATACCATCGAATCCGGCGCCACCTTGAAATTTCCCATCGCGCATCTTGATTCATATGTCACATCTATCTTAGCTCTCGACATATTCCCTTCCCCAATCGCCGATGACCGCTCCATCTTATGGATCCACTCCGTGATGCGAAAGTACCCTGAATGCTTTGAGCCCCCGATCGTTCAAATCAGCAAATACCGAATTATTCACTCTGCGTCGCAGCCTCTTTCCATCGTCCCCCTCTCCTCGTCGGAATATACTGGCGTGGACTGCTATATTTGGCGCCAATGGTGCAGACATCTGGCCCTTTCTGGCTTTAGGAAGATGAATCGCTGGTATCTGACTGGGCTCTCTGGCCCGGCAGAGGATGTTGTGATATCTCCCACTGGACGGGTTACGAAGCTATCATTGCCCAACGCGGGACAGCACGTCCACATCTCACCTTTCAGCAATGCATTGACCTACTCCACCGCGAAGGAAATCATCATACAGTACTATGACTGATAGTGCCGTGTTCGTATGACATTTCACAATGCGCAGCGTCAGGAAATAAGCAAAATGGACACCCTCATGCAACGAAACATGTGGGCCCTCCTCGTCATGCCAGCCGTCTGGATGCCCTAGTTCATGTTCCTGTTTATCGCCTCCATCCTCTCCTTGTCTGGCGCACGGCAGACCCCGAGGAACATGACCTTCTCCGTGGGTGCATCGTTCCGACTTAGCCGCACATTGCGGCGACTGGTGCGTTAGTCGTGGCCATGCAAATCGTGGAAACTGCGCGGCGTGCCTGTGGCGATCTGCGGCTCAGTAGTCGACGTGGCATGGGTATCCTGAGCGGCGGCATGGCAGCCTAGAATTTAGAAAAGTTGGAGACAAAGACAGCGAAACGTACGACAGACTGAGGGACCTTGAGAGCCATTCTACCAGATTATGAGGATGTACAAGTAGTTGAGAGACGTGGGGCCTTGAGGAACGAGGCAGAACCGTCACCCGTGAGGTTGCCGTGCGGCGGCCGTGCGTCAAGTAAACACGTTGTCCAAAAGGAGCAAATGCCAAACATCATCATCGCTAACAATTCCAACTCAGCGACGAATGCCCAAGTACAATTGGTCGCCCTGAAAACTCGAGGAAGAAGCAGTACTTGAGAGGATCAGCAAGTGGTATATCTACCTCGCGCCACGTATTCAGCGGCCAGAACTTGCTGCGCACTCGGATCGCTTTCCCTTGTCAATATACTAT